GCACGGCGGTGCTCGTGCACCGCCGGCGGGGCTCCTGGGTCCAAATCGCCTCCGTGGTCATGGTGAGGATGGTTTACTACCAGCAGTTCCCCGTCAAGTACACCCTCAAGAAGGACATGTCCGTGTACCACTCCTGCTACGAGGAGCTCGGCAGCAAGCTGGACCGCGTGGGCTTCATCCACGACGACTGGCGCGACTGCTGCGTGGCGCCCGAGCTGCGCGACACCTACGCCCGCCTCACCTTCGAGGACTACATGTGGGAGTTCTACAACGTCTACACCAGCCTCGTCCACCCCTACCAGCAGTCCGTGCTTCTGATGCTCTGCGGCGCGCTGAGGCTGGCCATGCGCGATGCCGCCGCGTCCGGCGAGGCCGACGGAGCCAAGGGCTTCTCGCCGTACGCCAGCCACCCCCACGTCGCCCCCTATCTGCGCATGGTCCAGCGCATGCTCACGCCCACCCCCGTCAGCAACAGCCTCGTCAAGGGCGCTCTCGCCGGCGCCGCCGTCAACCGCGTCGAGTACACCCTCGGCACCTGGCTGGCGTACGTCAAGTCCGTGAGGCTCCTGCAGGACGAGATCGCCGCCGTCAATCTCGAGGACTACATGCAGTCCATATCGCCTGAGCCCTTCGTCGCTTCGAGCATGAAGCACTTCATCGTCGGGCTCACGGTCGTGTCGACGGTGACTTTTCTCTGCGCCGTCTTCATGGCCATCCTTCGTTGTCGCCGTCGCCGCAAGGCTCTCGCCGCGCAGCGGCGCAACACGCTGATGTTCTACTCGGATTCCGTCGGCGCGTACGACGACACAGACCCCGACTCCAGCAGCTCGCGTGCGGCCGGCGAGTCTCGGCCCTCGGCCCTCCCCGCCCACCTCACCGCGTCGGCCAACTTATCGCGCACGCCGGCGTGAACTCAACTCGTTGTAGACAGAGCACCAAACAGTTGTGGGTAACATATACCTCGCTTTTCTTCCGCATGTATCCTTGCGTATATTAAAGACGCTCGCCGGTACCCCAGACCCTAACCCGCGCAATATCCGACGAGCGCGCGACTTCCCACCTTCGAGACGGACAGGATCAACCACATCGACGCACCAAAAGTGTCACGCAGGCCATAGCAAACGCAAGGCGACCTAATCACCGCCTCGCGGTCGCCCACACCGTTCCGAAACAGCCGCTACATAAAACGTTGCCAGAACTGCAACCGTGCATAGCTCTACATAACGTACGAATTCCCGCCACAGCTTCGAGCGTGGCCAACTCAGTCGGCGCGGGTAACCTCCACGTGCAACAGCAGGCCGCAGCAATCGATCTCCATAAACCGCTGGTCCAACAGCTGCGCCCACCTGATGCCCGGACGTATGCGGTTGACTGGAATCGCAGTCTGCCCGATGATCCGGGGGCTCACGTTGTCCTGGTGCTTGACGGTGAGCAGCAGGATGGCCAGGTTCGGCCGCTTGACGACAAACTCAAAAGGGGCCGAAGTGTCCGCCCAGACGGGGTTGAACCCGTTGAAGCTGACGGCCTCCGTGCGCTGCATGCGCTCCTCCTCGCCCAGCACCGTGACCTCGACGAAGGGGCAACAGGCGTCGTTTTGCTCAACCACAATTTTCGCGGAGCGCGAGATGACCTTGTCCGCGTCCTCCTCGACCTCTCCCATCTGCAGCCCGTTGGCAGCCACGCTGACGTCCCTCGCGCCCTTCCCCTTCGCCGGCTTCTGCTTACGCGGCGCCCCAAGCTTCTCCGCGACCTCGTCCAGGTCCAGTGGCGTGCCTTGCTGCTGGATGGAGCGCAGCGTGTTTTCCAGCGCGTTCGCGAAGTTCGTCTGCTCCTGCCCCTCGTTCGGAGGCGGGAGCTGCGAGGCGGAGAGGACGTGAATCTTGAGGGCCACCGGCCCGCCGCAGAAGTAGTCCAGGCACTCGTCCGGCGCGCGCGAGTAGGGCCTGATCTCCGGCGGCTTGAGCACGTAGCCGAAGCTCTGGTTGAACTTGCCGTAGTTGATCAGCATCGAGCGGTCGTGGGACTGGTAGTTCATCGCGACGAACTGGATGCCCGCCGCCCAGGCGTTGAGCGGGCAGAAGTTGGTGCTCGCGAGCCGCGTGCTCGACGGGAAGAGCCGGATCATGGCCACGTCCGTGAACCGCTGCAGGAACTCCTGCTGCGACGCCACCTTTGCGAGCTTGTTCTCCTTCATGCTGTACACGTCGTTCTGCTTGGCGCGTTGCATGTCCTCCGGCGTCAGCTCGCCCAGCCTGTAGCCGTGGAGGGCGACCACCGACATCCACTGCTTCTCGGCCCTGGGGTTCTTCACCGCGCTCTCGGCCTTGACCTTCCCCTTGATGATGAACTTGGAGAGCAGGCACCCCAGCGGCAGCGACGCCACGTGGTCCGCCGGCTTCGTGGGGTCCGGCACAAACAGCTGGTCGCCCAGAATCTCCCGGAACAGCTCCTCCGTCTTGATCTTGCACTCATCGCTGCAGGTCATCTGCATGGAGAATACGACCGGCAGCTTCGAGGTCTTGAAGGCGGTCTCCTTGCAGGCCACCAGCGCCTCCCGCAGCGTCACGGACCCCGTCAGCTGGCAGCTTTTCCAGGAGTGGAACAGCGCCGGTTCGTCGTGCGCGCCCCCCTGGCAGTCGAGCTCGATGCACCTGCACCCTCTGAGGAGCGCTTCGGCCAGGGCGCCCGCCGTCGCCGTGCCTCCCACCTGGTTCCCGGTGAGGTACGTGTTGTGCGAGCTCGCGATCCAGAAGGCCTTCAGCGGGTACTTGAGCATGTTTTCGATCTCCTCGGCGCCGTACGGCATGACCACGGTGTTGAACTTTTGCGAGAGCGCCCAGTGGAACCCCATGACGGTGAGGACCCTCGCGGGAACAGTGGCCTTGGACAGCTTTCTGAACAAGGACCTGATGCCCGCCTTTTTCTTCGGTTCTTTGGGCACCGTTATCGGTATCTCGGCGGTACTGGTGGCGATTTCCAGCAGGTTGTCTGCAGTCTCTTGCCGGTTGGCTCCCTGCACCTTTTCAAGGAACTTCTCGTACTCCGCGTCGTCAATCGGCTGTAACGGGCCCGATTCTTCCAAACACCCTACTGCGCCTTGTGACACCGGCACCTTTTGTATATCGTCACCTGCAGGCAATGTCGCCTTCGACTTATTCTTTGTTAAAGCTTCGTCACCCGATCTACTCTGCGCAGCGACAGGAACTCCCGCCGAATCTTCATCTGCCTCTTCGAAGTTTGTACGCCGCTTAGACGGGTCATGGTGCTCACTGCTGTGAATATCGTCGTCGCCCTCCTTGCGCTCCGATACGCTGACCACAACTGAATAGTGCTTCACCACATTGAATATGAGCTTCGCAGCGTCCTCGGGATCCAAGGGGTTGTCATAAAGAAATATCTCGCGTCGCGAGTGCTCAAAACCCACGTCGAGCGCCTTCAGGTGGTAGGCGCAGTCTGAGACGAACCTCACGAGATTATCCACCTTGCTGAAATTGTTCTCCACCAGTCGCTGCACGACCTCGTGCAGCCACATCTGGCGCGTTTCCAGCACTTCCTTCACCGCCGATACGATGGGCGCGACCCGGTCCGTGCGCCCAATCACGTTGAGGCTCTTAAGCATGTCTACCACCTCATCGATGCCGCAAAACTCCGTCGACAGAGCGTCTGCCGACTGCGTCTCTCGCGCTGCGATGAGCGCAGACAGGGCGTTTTCCGGGCGATCGAGCTCCTCCAGGATGGCATTACAGCGAAAGTTAGGTATCCCCGCGGCGTCGCTGTCGGCGAACAGCGCGGCCACGTGTGCGGAGTTTGTGATCCAGGCACGCGCGTACTCATCTCGGGCGTGCCGCGCGATGTGGTAGATACCCGCGATCCACAGCAGTGCGCCCTTCGGCGACGAGGCTGCCAACCGCAGCGAGATCGCTCCGGAAAGCACAAAAGCGTGTTTTTCGCTGCTGTCATGCTTCCCCTTGCTGTCGAACTGCGCTACCTCGTCTCCTCTTCTGATGCTATCTACTCCGCAGAGCGCTATTGCGCTCTCGTGCGCTCTTTTCGCTTTCGACTGCCATCTCAGGAAGAAGGTTCCGCACAAACGCGATACCCAGAAGAAGCGTTCGTGAGCGCGTCCTGCGGGCACTACTGCCAGATGTTTGGGTGTTTGCGCTGCTGCGGAAGGCTGTGCGGATTCCGAGCTCCCACCTTTTGCGTGTTTTCGCGGCGTGAGCGGCTGACCGCGCCGGGATTTTTTTAGAAGGTCGCCGGTTAGCACACACTGGACTGCTTCCGCCACTGGGACGCGCGAAATCTCCTCCAGCAGGGATTCGCTGATGCGCGGCGACACGTCCATGTTACCCGCGGCCAGCTCCCTCATCCAGTGCTCGTTTACTGTTGTTGGCATTTGTTAGTTGTAGCACCTTTTCAGGTACTTGTCGTCCATGTTTCAGCATCATTGGAGTTTTTGTTTACGAAAATTCGTCAGTAGATCATCTGTGTGCATTGCCGGTTAGATCGGGTAGTTGTCACCCTCTGCCTTGACTGAAGCCTCTTTCCGGCACACATTATCGTCTTAAATCCCATACACTGACTATCACCCTTTTTAATTGACGAGGGAAATATAGCGCCATCTGATTTGCGATTACGGCGTGGCGTCTAACACCGAGACTCGTGGCAAATTTCGGATTACGAAAAGACGTCTTGTCTTTAAACCACATATCGAACAATCTACGCAACAAACTGACGTTTTGAGCTAGACATTTCCACAACGCTCATCGGTCCAATGTGTACGTTGTCGTCCTTCGCAGATGTTGGAAGCGTACTGTTACCACTCTGTGCGGCTGTTTTCCTGGACTTTCGTATCCTAACGCGTCGCTGCCATATAAACATACGACGGCGCGCTATATTACTGCTGAAAGGTAGATTGCCACTGACTTTGACCAGGCTCGTGTGTATCTATCATACATGTATGCGTGGTTATTCAATGCAAATTTGAGGCCTGCATTATGAGCGCTAGTGGTCTAGGGGTAAGATCCAACCCTCCCAAGGTTGGGGCCCGGGTTCGAGTCCCGGCTAGCGCATTTTTGTATGATCAACACATGCCTTCGAAACGTTCTATTGCAGGTACTCTTACATAGGTTACACCTCTACGTTACCCTGGCGAACGCGGAGCACTAAGAGCCTCACATAGACACCGGGCGACCCTCCGCCCTCCGCGGTCGCACCTCCCCCAGGGAGTTGCCTTGACGGCAGCACATTCACTTTGCAGTCGCACCGCACACGGGGTTTCGCATTTTTATTTAGATGTGTCACCATGGCGGAGCTTGTGTCGTCCATGGCCGTGGGCACGCACCTCTTCGTTCGCTCCGATGCCGAAGTACGTGCAGACGCACGCCGCCCTCACGACGCGCAGGTCTGGCAAGAAGCAGTGGTCGACAGCATCCGAGACGACAAAGTCTACGTGCGGCTGGAAAACGCGGCCCAAGGGGAGGTGGTCGAACTGAAGCCGGGGGAGAAGTACCACCCTCACACAGAAGGTAAGCCGCGGCACACGCAGGCCCGGAGCCGGGCCCGCGGCTCCTCACGGCTGATATTGCGCGATGTGCGACGAATGTGTACATGTACGCGACGTGTCTGTCCATGTGTGTGCCCTGGCCCTCGCACATTCCGCGCAGACCGCTTCAACACCCCAAGCGGATACCCTGACGACCTCTGCAACCTCACCTACCTCCACGAAGCCTCCGTCCTCCACGCGCTCGACCGGCGTTTCGCGGTGGACGACATCTACACGCTAACAGGGCAGATCCTTATCGCCGTCAACCCCTTCAAGCAGATCAGCGGCCTCTACGATGACGCGACGATCCTGCGCTACCTGGAGGGGCGCGACCTCGGCGAACCGCACGTGTTCGGCGTGGCGTGCAACGCCTACAATAGCATGACCAAGAACGACCGCTCCCAGACCATCCTCATCAGCGGCGAGTCGGGGGCCGGCAAGACCGAGTCGACCAAGTTCGCCATGAAGTACCTGGCCATCGCCGGCGCGGAGAGCATCGAAAAGAAGTCCGCCGCCGAGCTCAAGGTGCTGGAGTCCAACCCGCTCCTCGAGTCCTTCGGCAACGCCTCGACGGTGCGCAACGCCAACAGCTCCCGCTTCGGCAAGTTCATCGAGCTGCAGTACCGCAAGGAGAGCCCGATCAAGTCGCGCCTCGTCGGCGCGCGCATCGAGACCTACCTGCTGGAAAAGGTCCGCATCTGCCAGCAGCAGGAGGGCGAGCGCAACTACCACATCTTCCACCAAATCACCGCGGCCGCCAACCGGGGCGAGAACTTCACCTACCGGCAGCAGAGCGCGCTCGACGCCGGCGGCGACACGCCGTGGGAGTTTGACCTCAGCGCCTTCTGCGGCGACTTCCGCATCGTTCCCGCAAACGGCGAGCGCGGCTTCGACATGGCCGACTTCGAGGCCACGCTCGCCGCCATGCGCACCGTCGGCTTCACCCACCGGCAGGTCTCCGTCGTCTTCGACATCGTCGCCACCGTCCTGCACCTTAGCAACATCGAGTTCGTCGAGAAGAAGGGCAGCGAAGGCGCCGCCATCAGCAACATGGAGGCCGGCCACTGCCATAAGGTGACCACGCTCCTCGACGTGGACAGCGTCTCGCTCATGAACGCCCTCATGACCCGCACCATCAAGACCGCGAACGAGATGTACACCAAGCCGCTGCGCGTGGAGGAGGCGTGCGACGTCCGCGACGCCATCGCCAAGAACATGTACAGCATGCTCTTCGACCACATCGTGGGGCGCGTCAACGAGTCCATCGGCTACGTGCCCGACGCCACGCTGACCACCGGCATCCTGGACATCTTCGGCTTCGAGTGCTTCAAGCACAACTCCTTCGAGCAGCTCTGCATCAACTTCACCAACGAGACGCTGCAGAACTTCTTCAACAACTTCGTCTTCCGCTGCGAGGAGGAGCTCTACTCCGCCGAGGGCATCTCCTGGAACGCCCTCGACTTCCCCGACAACTCCGACTGCGTCGAGCTCTTCAAGAGCCGCCCCTACGGGCTGTTCGTGATGATCGACGAGGAGTGCAACCTGCCCGGCGGCAAGGACCAGGCGCTCTGCAACAAGGTCGTCCAGCGCCACTCCAACAACGCTCGCTTCGCCAAGGTCAAGCTCGACCAGAGCAGCTTCGTCGTGAACCACTTCGCCGGCGCCGTGCAATACAAGATCGACGGCTTTCTAGAGAAGAACAAGGACCAGCTCTCCAACGACGCGGTCTCCTTCATCCTCTCGACCAAGATCGACGAGATGCGCGAGATCTTCCAGTCGTACATTGAGAAGAAGGGCGCCACCAACGGCGGGCGCGGCGGCGGCGTGACCCGGCAAAAGACCATCGGCACGCAGTTCACCGGCCAGCTCGACTCGCTCATGGCCAAGATCGGCGCCACCGCCCCCCACTTCATTCGCTGCATCAAGCCCAGCCCCGAGTGCCGCCCCAACCACTTTGACCGCGTGACCGTCGACTCGCAGCTCCGCTGCAGCGGCATGCTCCAGGTCGTCCAGGTCTCCCGCGCCGGCTACCCTGTGCGCTTCCCGCACGCGGAGCTCTTCCACAGCTTCCGGTACCTGCTGGAGCCCGGCGAGGTCGGCGCCGCCCAGGCCATCGAGGACAAGCGCCGGCAAAGCGAGTTCGTGCTCGACATTCTCGTTCGGCGCTACATGACGGAGCGGCCCCCCGCCGAGGGAGCCCTCGCCATTGGGAAGACTCTGGTCTTCATGAAGAACGAGCCGTACGAGCAGGTCTGCCTCGCGATGCAGGGCCTGCGCAACCGCAGCTGCATGGTGATCCAGTCTCGAGTCCGCGGCATCATCCAGCGGCGGCGCTACCGCGAGGTCATGTGGCGCATTCGCACCTTCCAGGTCTGGATCCGCTACCGCATCAACACCCTGCGACGCCAGCGCGCCATTCGCCTGCAGGCCGCCGTGCTAATCCAGAGCATGTACCGCATGTACCGCCAGCGCCGGCGCCTTCGCGAGCTCCGCGCGGCCGTGACCCGCCTCCAGGCGCTCTGGCGCTCCGTCTGCTCCCGCGTCCTCACCGAGGAGCGGCACATCCACACCATGGCCACGAGGATCCAGAGCGCCTGGCGCGGCTACCGCTGCCGCTGCCACTACCTGGCCCTGCGCAGCGCAGCCGTCAAGGCGCAGCTGCGGTGGCGCTCCATCCTCGCGCGCCGCACCCTGCGCTCGCTGCGCATGGAGGCCAAGGACCTGGGCAACGTGATAAAGCGCGCCCAGGCGCTCGAGGAGGATCTCAAGCGGGAGAAGGCCATGCGCGCCGACGCCGAGGCGCGGGTGCTGCAGGCCACCGCGAAGCTCACCACTGTGGAGCGCTCCGTCGAGGAGCTGCGCGCCCAGGTCGAGCGGCTGACCCGGGAGCGCGACACCCTCGCGGAGCGCGTCCACGACGCCGAGATTACCACTCAGAAGGCCCAAACAGACTTGCGCATGATCAAGGAGTTTGTCAGCAAGGAGGCCACCACCGGCGGCCAGTCCCACTGGCTGAGCAGCCTCCTGCCGGGTCGCCTCGGCTCCGCCTCCGGCGAGGGCGCGGCGCCTGACAAGCTCGAGCGCTCCAACTCTTCGCACTCGCCGCGTGGGATGCGCGCCAAGCCCATCTCGCAGAGCGCGGACATTGTGCTCTGCGGCCCCCCCAGCTGCGGCAAGACCCGGCTGCTGGAGATGGCGCTGATAAAGAACGGCGACGACAAGAACCTGGACCTGCTCCGCAACACCGACTCTGCCCGCAAGCAGCGGCGGAAGATGACGCCGGTCGCGTTCGAGTTCCCCGTGGCGGCCAACCGCAAGGTCTCCGTCATGGAGATCCCAGGGTCCTACTTCCACTCCGACGAGGCTCGCGCCATCCTCTGCAACGCCCACGTGATTGCCATCTGCTTCGACCCCGGCAAGCAGCAGACCTTCGTGGACGCCCAGGCCATCGTGCGGCTGTTGAAGACCCTGGTGAACTCCAAGCAAACCAGCATCTGCCTGGTGCAGAACGACTACATCATCTTGGAGAGTGCGCGGCCGCTTGTCTGCGACCTCACGGAGACGCAGCAGTTCGCCATCGAGAACGAGCTGCTCTACATGCGCGTGGCTGACTTGGTGGAGTTTGTGGAGCAGATGGCCTCTCTCGTCGAGGGCAAGCGGAACCAGCGCTCGGCCAGATCTGGCGACCGGCCCGGTTCCGGCCGCAGCGCGAACCGCGGCGCTCTGACGCTTTTTTACGAGAAGTTCCGCAACTTCTGGGCTGGCGTGAACTACTCGGGCTTCCAGAACAAGCTGCTGGTGCCGACCCTAGTGACTTCTGAGGGCGCTGAGGTTCCGCAGCTGTCGCTGAAGCGCGTCGCCCAACTCACCGAGTACACCTCCGCCGTGACCTGCATGGCCTTCCGCCCCGAAAAGCCGAGCGACGCCTACATTGTCCTCGCCGTCGGGCGCCGCGACGGCTCCATCAACTTGTACCACTGCTTCCGCACCGACACTGAGCTTCTGGCGCTCAACTCGGACACGTTCGACGAGAAGGCTCCGCACCCCGTGGACAAGAAGGTCTCCATCGTGGAGTCCTTCACCCTCCCGTACCACAACATGGCCGTCACCTGCATGTGCTTCTCCATGCGCAACCCCGACGAGCTGGTGACTTCCTCCGTGGACTCCACCATTCGCGCCTGGAACATCAAGACCGGGCTGCTGATCAAGGTCTTCCACGACTCTTTTCCGGGGCTGTCAGTCGCGTTCCACCCTGTGGACCCTGACTTGATCATCAGCACCAACGCGTGCCCCACCATTCGCATCATCCACTACAACAAGGGCTCCGTGATGCAGAAGATCCGCACCAAGAGCGAGCTGCGCTGTCTCGTCTTCGATGACACGCGGCTCAACTGCATCGCGGGCAACGAGCGCGGTCTGATTTGCGTGTACGAGTCGCAGCCCAATCTGCACCTTAAGCTTTCGACGAGCAAGCAGATTTCGCGCGGCCCCATCACCTTCGTGAACTTCGTGCCCTCGACGTCTCCC